CGGACGAATTCAAAAGAGAAAAGCACACACACACTCACATATCCTAATAAGCAGCCAAAGGCATCACACCTCACACAGCGTCATGTGTTTCCACTAACATCAAGATGAGTTCAAATATTATGTTCGTCCGTTTGCATCAAACAGAACCTCCTAGCAACCATAAACTGAGCATTGGATCCCTGCGACTCCGAACACCAGGAGAACACCGAGGAAAACTCGCCAAAAAGGCTCAAAGCTGGGAGCAGGGACTTGCACAGTTTCCCCTCAAGAGAGTGGCATGTCGCTGCTGTCGCTGGCATCGTTAAAATAACCCCAGATGGGACTGCTACACCAATCAAGGGTACCCTGTATCCCAACTACGTCTTCCTCTTTTCCCCACAGAGTCACACACAAGGAAGCAAAACAATTTTGTGACGTCCTCAAACCTCAGAGCCACTTCCCGGAGACCATCGTACAGAACCCTTCCTTTTTTTCATTGGCATTCATCAAAAGTACCTCCAATCAACATAGCATCAACGAAGGCTGCGATCACCTCAACAAAACCCACATCATCAGTCGTAACGAGGAGCAGCAAAACAACTGCAACGACACACCAATATAGGAGAACGACGCCTTTCTTCCGCAGTGGAGCCGCCTAACATATTCTCGAAGAGGATCAGCACCGCACAAGAGAAAACCAGCATTTATTTACACCAAAGAAAGTGGAGGTGAAGAGCAAGAGAACGTGTAGTGTTCTCTTACTGAAAGCAGTAGCAGGTCGACACACACACGCGCACACACATCATGCCTCAGTGGGCAATGCATCTGAATGACGACGCCACTTGCGAATACTGGCGACAGGCAATGGAAGGTGCATTACCCGAGTGGAATTGGCATGTCAAACAGCTGCAAGAGGCATGGGAAACACAGCCTACATAACCATAAAGGAGAAGGAATCACAGAGACACAAATGTCTCCCACGAGCCCACACAAACGTCTGGAGTTATTCTGGCTCCCTGTCTCAAAGCTGTCACACTCCAGTTTAGTACAGCGAGGTGGCGATGAACCAGAGCATGGATGTTGCCATGTTGATGAATCTTTTTCGGGGCCTGCTGAATGGTTGGAAGGCATTGCAGCGGAAATACAGTGCCATCCTCGCATTCATCAACAAAACAAAAAGAGATGGTTGGTACACACCTCCCTCAAGAGATTGAATCACATTCCAAGCGGAGGAGTCATAACAAGGCAGAGTGGCGCTAGTCGAACTTCAGGCACCTCACAACACATAGCATTGGGTGACCCGCGTTGCACAGTCCGTAGTAGTAAGAAGGCCGCAGAGCTCCTTCTCCTGCCTACTCGAATAGAAGACAACACCAAAAAAGCGTGACAAGCATAAAGTGGGAGGTTGAACGGGATGCAAACAAATAAGCGCATGGCTCAGTCCACAACATTCACTCCAATGAGAGAGAACCTTCCCATTTCACACGTTCCATTCTTACTTCCCATGCGCTGCTTACAACATTTCGAGAAGCCACGCCCAAGGATGGGCAAAAATTATTTCTTTTCTTTTTTTAAACAAAACATGAGGGCTTTCGTTCGATTAATCAGATCCTCCCAATGCAAAAAGCAACAACCCGAAAAGGCAAAAAAAACGTATTTTATTACCTCTCCAGTTTTTTTTACCACATGAAGCGCAAAAAAGATTCGCGACCGAACATCGTCCCCTACCCCAAAAAAAGTTACTTTTGTGTTTCCGGCACATACGAGTATTAGTGTTTTTCCTCACCCAAGAGGAACACGGCGCAGAGCGAAATCGTCGGCCGGGAACCAAAGCTCAAAGCGAACACCAGGGGTAGCACCACAAGATCATGAGCCACACCGCATATATCT